TATGGCGAACCTTTTGAGCTCGGTGTGTCAGCATTTTGAAAAACCCTAACTTAACTCTGGTGCCGTGTCACATATAGAAATTTTTTGATATTTGCAACCAAAGTAAAACAAAGACATATTTTTGATATTTATTTTATATATTTAAATACCATTTAACAAAGAAAAATCAACCAAAAAAATGAGTTCGCGTGTCATAGGTTCGCCATCACTGGATTAGGGGACTATAACCTGGATTTGTCCCCAGTCCCTATAGTCTATGCTTGAGCCAGTGAGGCCATGGGGCTGCAAGGAAAAAAAAAATCCTAGTTTAAAGGCTGATAAAGTGTCAGTAGAATGAATGAATAAATGAATGAATGTCACACATAAACACATACAAAGAAATATAACCACAATGTTAAAATAGCAAATTTTATAAGTTTCAAAGAGAAAGACAAGACTGCTTATAAAGGAATCAGGTTAATTTCAGAATTCTCAGCAGCATTTCTAACCAGGAAGATAATGAAGAAATAGTCTAAGTGTTAAAGAAAACATTTAAACCTAGAATGCTATATCCAAGTAAACTATAATTTAAATGTGAGGACAAAACAAAGATATCTTCAGGCCTCCAAAGCTAAAAAGACCTTTTTTGAAAACACTCTTGGGGGAAACATTCCAGTAGAAAGGGGGAAGGGACCAGAAGGAGGATACAAATACATAGGAAGTAAGGGTGGATTTATAACCTGATAAATTTGGCTATTATCAAAATAAACAACTTTTTAAAGTGCAAACATGAAGTCAAGAAATCAAGAACTAAAATTCCCTATGACATATCTACTTGGCTACCAAGTGGGATGCGGTTGGAGAGTGCATGTCCAAAGAGAAATGAGGGCACACTAAGGTAATATCCCTGTTCTGGAGTAGGTGAGCATATTAACATGCTTTGAAACATTTGGTTATTATCAAAATAAAGAACTTTTTAAAGTGCAAACATGAAATCAAGAAATCAAGAACTAAAATTCCATATGACATATCTACTTGGCTACCAAGTGGGATGGGGTTGGAGAGTGCATGTCCAAAGAGAAATGAGGGCACACTAAGGTAATATCCCTGTTCTGGAGTAGGTGAGCATATTAACATGCTTTGAAAACCACAGGGGCCGAAACCGGTTTGGCTCAGTGGATAGAGCCTCGGCCTGTGGACTGAAAGGTCCCAGGTTCGATTCCGGTCAAGGGCAAGTACCTGGGTTGCGGGCACATCCCCAGTAGGAGATGTGCAGGCGGCAGCTGATCGATGTTTCAATATTAACATGCTTTAAAAACCACAGGGGTAAATTATAGAAGAATAAAAAGAGAAGTATGACTTTCAAATCAGCAGATGAGAATTTAATCTAGCTAATGGAAATGATAAAGAAAAACAAAAGAGCAATAAAAATATAGTCAATAAAAAACATTAACTTCAGTAACAGAAATAAGTCTTAATTTAATAGTGAGAGTAGGTGTGGGCCCAGCGGGAATTGAGGCGAGAGGCGCACTGAACCTGAGGGGAGCCCGTTGAACCCGGGTGACTGGAGGTGTGGACTTGAGGAGAGGAAGGTGGACCCACTTGAGCCTACGGTGTTCAGGATATGAGGCAGGAGGACATGAGGGAAATACAGCGACATAGCTAGTTACAAATGCACAGAGGTCCCTGGAGCCTTCTGGGCTCGAGAAAATGGGGACCACACGGATCAGCTGCGGAGACCGTCCTTATTCCCCATCCTGCTCTGCTCCATCCCCGCTGAGGGAAGCGCCGCCTGGGGCCTGGTTCTGACCTGTGAAATGGGAACCGTCCTTATTCCCCATCCTGCTCGGCTCCCTCCCCGCTGAGGGAAGAGCCTCGGCCTGGGGCCTGGTTCTGACCTGTGAAATGGGAATGATGTGCTGAGCTGGCTTCTGTGGGCAACAGGGATGACTCTTACTTTCTGCAGTAACAGAAATTGGCCAGCAGAGGGTGACAGTCTCTGCTGCTTCCGTGGGCAACAGGGATGACTCTTACCTTCTGCAGTAACAGGAATTGGCCAGCAGAGGGTGACAGTCTCTGCTGCCTCCCAAGGCAGGCAGCTGGGCTGGGTGGAAACCACACCTGGTTACCCTTCAGAAGAGGTAAGTGTGAGGCTGAAGAATGGCTTTGTGGCCAGGTGGGCATCCAGCTGCCCTGGGAGGCCTATTCCGCCTGCCACTCTGCAGATGGGTCCCCTCTGGTGGCTGCAGTGCGTAGCCCGAGCCCTCCAGGAGCTGGACATCAGCACAGACTTGGTGCTCAAGGCATTTCTGAGGGACCAGAGAGGGGAGCAAAGGGGAGTGCCCACCTGGTGTCTGCACCCCTCTGTATAAGGGGTCAACCCACCGGCCCCTCCCAGACTGGTTTGATCAAGCGGAAGTGGGCACATGAACAAGGGGGCTGGGCCACGTGATCAAGCAGAAATGGGCATGTGAACTAGGGGGCGGGGCTACATGATTACATGAGAGTGGGGCAGAGTACCCACCTGGTGTCTGCACCACTCTGTCTAAGGGGTCAATCCTCCTCTCAGACTGCCTTGAGGATTCTGGGGCTGCAGGCAGGACTTGGGGAACTAGTGACAGACTGGGACCTGGGCTCAGCAGGTCCTTGGAGCTGCAGGGGAGCGCTGAATGGGGTCTCCAGGGGATGAGAGATGCTGCCACAGAGGTGGGAGGAAGTGGGCACATGAACAAGGGGGGGGGCGCTACATGATCACATGAGAGTGGGGCAGAGTACATACCTGGTGTCTGCACCACTCTGTCTAAGGGGTCAATCCTCCTCTCAGACTGCCTTGAGGATTCTGGGGCTGCAGGCAGGACTTGGGGAACTAGTGACAGACTGGGACCTGGGCTCAGCAGGTCCTTGGAGCTGCAGGGGAGCGCTGAATGGGGTCTCCAGGGGATGAGAGATGCTGCCACAGAGGTGGGGTGGCATCAGGGTCTTGTACAAGGAGGCACCCAGCAGCCGCCCAGAGACACAGGTGCAATGACAGACCCCTGTCCACTGAGGGTGGGAGACGGGGGTCGGGGGAAGGGAGAAGCCCATTAGAGCAAATAGCCACAGGGTGAGGGGCGCTTAGCCAGAGGTCACAGGTAAAGAAACACAGGCTGTGAGCAACCTAGGGTTCCATTTGTAGCTCCGCCCACCATGGAGGTGGCTCCCCAAAACAGAGACCACCCAAGGTCTCAAGGGGGTGGGCCATGTGAACAGGAGAGCATAGGCGTGTGAACAAGGGGGCTTCTAACTAGACCAGTTCATAAAACCCAGACTCCTGCCATCTCCCTGAGTATTTTTGGCCTGTGTCCACTCCTGACACCAATTTCTGTACAAGTTAATGTTCTTGGATGCAAACAAAAAAGCCAATTCTGTCCAACTTGAGAGAGCAGGAATTCTGGAAAGACATTATTATACAGCTCACAGAAACAGTAGGAAAGGCTGGTGAACCAGGCTTGGGAAAAATATCAAGAACCTAAATACAGCAGGTAGAAGAACACATAGCCAAGTCCAGCCCGTGGCCAATCTGGTTAGGACGCTGTCCCTGGCACCTCTGCGGTTGTGAATTGGTTTTGACAATTCATAAGTCTTAAGTGTCACTCCCGATCAATCCACATCATCAGAAAATAGCATCCTAATTCCAAACCCTACCTGCTAGGAAGCAGGGTGAGACTGTCTGGCCCTTGTCAATTTCCATAAGGAGAAATATAAAGGGGGGTTGGAATGCAGGCGAGAAAAAAAATGAGAAGCTCACAAAAGAGCACAAACAACTTTCTAGGGACTTCAGGACTATCTACAGGGCAGAAACATAAGTGGAAGTTGTAGGATGCCATCCTCAAGTATCTTTGGCATTCAGAATGGCAGACAATAGGTGAAATGGTTTGAGACCATGTTAGAGGTGTCTATGAACCCCCATAAATGACCAGGAGTGACTAAAGCATGCTGGGGTTTGGGACGTAGATGACCAACCAGTAAAAGAAGATATTGATGCTAATATGCTCATTCCAATGTACAGACTGGTGAGGCCATGGGCCACTGGGGTTATAAGATGTGCTATGGAGAAGCAACTGCAGTGTGATGGACAGGGACAAGCTGATATGGGAGACCAAACTCGGCAGGCTAAGTGGGGGGAACCAAGGTGGAAAAGTGAACAGAGAATGCTGGGAGATGGAGCTTATAGCGGTCAGCTCAGACCATAGTTTTTGTCAAGGCTTCTCTGGGAGACCTAGGTTTATCCTCTGCCTCAGGAAAACTCTGAATCAAAGACTCCACCCACAGAGACTCTGTCCTAACTGTACCCTAACTCCTAGTCACTCCAGGGCAGGAGCTGGCACTTCCCAGTCTTTGCCACTCAAAGTCCCACATCCCAAGGGCTGGGGTTGCTCTCCTGGAGTTAGGCATCCAGTCCTGCTCCAATAGGCTTGCTAAGTGCTAGAAGGTCATTTTTATTCACAGAATGATTGAGAAAATATTATTATGCCCTAGAGACATGGACCTGGAAGGAGGAAAGGAACTAGCTGGAAGGATCTTGCCTCTAATCTTTCATGAGTACCTTGCATTCATGGGCTCAGTGCAGGACACACATATGGTCCTGCCCATCCATAGAGGGCCCACTAGAATGCCTAAATGGGAAGAATGACAGAGCCTGAATAATGCCACAGATAAGGTTTATTTTGGACATAAGCTCTTTAGAAGTGGTCACTCCACCACTTTAGATCTTCATCTTCTAGAGCTGCAAGTCCTGGCATAGAGAATAGCCAGGAATGGTTTGTAGGAGAGTCTTGTTAGCCAAGCATCAGATTCACGAGAAATCTTCTGGGGCTGGTCTCCAGGCATGCTTAATAAACACCTTGTCCATCTTTCACTTGGCCACCAACGCCACCCTTCTGAAATACAAATTTGATCATGACATTTCCTCTGTTCAGAAACCTCCAGCAGTCTACCAAACTGACAGGCATCTCACTCTTCTTTGGACCGTGGCTTAGATGACCCTCTACTAAGATGCTGAGATGTTGTGCCTCTGAAATGCTGCAACTTCTACCACAGTCACTTTCCCATCTCCAACGGACCCACGCTTCTCCCACCATCTGAACGTCCCTTCCTTCCTCCAGCAAACTTTCTGCCTCCTTTAAACACTTCCTTAAATGTTCTCTACTCTCCAACAACCTTCCCAACACGCACTGATCCAACCGCCCAGGCAAAGCCAATTAACTTTCTTTTTGCGCCCACAGACCTTAGTAGAAACTAGTACAAAGCCATGGTTACACTGTTGTAATTATTTACGTAGTTCTGTCTCCCTTGTCTGGTTGTGTTTATCTTTTTATCTCAGCTTCAGCACAATGCCTGACAAACACAGAAGATACTCAATAATTGGTGTTCCCTTTCCTTTTCCCTATCTTCCCACAAACATTCATTTTCAGGGAGAGTTAAGGCCCCTTGGTGGGGAAGGAGAAGGACCATGAGAAACCCCGGGATAATAATGACCTGAGAACCTAGGATCATGGTTACTTGTCTCAACTGAGAGCCACCCAGGGATAGGGATGGGGCTTCTCTTCGAGGAGAGGGTCTTGGATAATGCAGCCAGGTGTCCTTCTGCCATTCATTTCCAGACTCTTTCTCTTGGGTTATCCAGACTCCTGCAGGCAGTGGACACGTGAGCGCTCATCTGCCTTAGCAAAGTCCACTAGGAAGTTATTGCACCCCTGGACAGCTCTTGATTGATTTATACTCACTGCAGGGAGAGCAGTTTTGCAGACACGACCACATCCATGGACGCAGCATTTCATTCGCTTGGGACATGATGCATCTCCTGTGCATCCATCAAAACAAGGCCCAATGATTTCTTTGGGCACCTTCGGGCAGACTCCAGGTCTCTGTTGCTCTGAAACATACAATGGTTTTGTGCAATCTGTAACAGTCACTATACAGGCGTGAGAACTGGTGTCCGAGGTCGGATGGCCTCGCCACTAGCAGGACTCCCACCTCTTCCATCTCTTCCTTCATGTTCCTGGATCCAACCCTCAGCCTCAGCAGCTCCACTTTTACTCTAGAGTCCCCATTTTCACAGGCCCTTAGGAGAATGTTCTCCCTGCTCCAAAGGCTGCACAGTCCCAGCAGACAAGAAACCTGCGCTGTCATAACCCTCTTCTTTCCACCTTATAAGATATTAGAAAAATCTCTGATCTCAGACAGCCATCTCCCCACCTCACACATATCCCATGTTCATCACGGAGTTACTCCTGTTAGAGTCCCGCATCCAAGGCGTATCTAGAGAAAACCCCAACTTCTAATCAGACCCAATCTGATCAGATAAGAAGAATGGGAATGCAGGGTGATCACTCCTGAAAGTCAAAGAATGTGGATCTGATCAATCCAAAATCTCCATTCTGCAGTGAGCACACTGCCTGCTTCTGTGCCAAACCATCCTCAGGTCTGAAGCGGGGCTCTGAGCCTTCTCTGCTGGCAGATAGGACCCCCCTCAGCACCCTTACCTTGGACAGGAGATGTCAGAGGGTTACCACAGGCCATCTCCATCCCCACGGTGATGAAAGCCACTAGAACAAAGACTATGCATGTCTTCATTTTGGCTTCGATGCGAATGCACACACAGAGCCCAGCCACAATTTATACCCTCAGTGTTACCAGAAAGGAGTGTGGGGCAGGGCAATAGAGCAGGAAGAGGATGACATGATCTAGTTCCTCTGTTCTAGTTAATAACTGGTTTCTCTCTAATTAGGGTATGTTTTCTCGGATATGCAAATCCCAAATAGGAAGTTCAGGAACACCTTCTAGCCCTTTGTTCATTGCTACATCACAGTTCAGCACTGGTTTTCCTGGTGTCTTTGGGAACAATGGCCAAAGAAAAGAATTTTCTCTGTGTAATTTAGAATTTCAGAGTAAGCGCTTAACTATGAAGCTAGGTGTTGTCCCATCTGGTGTCTCCTGGAGGTCCAGTTCTAGGAGGATTCAATGTGCTCCTGGGAGAGATGGTGAATATGTGGTGTTTTGGAGCCATCCCAGGGCTGAGACCCCTAAGTAGGTGACATTACCCACCGATCACTTATGTAACTCATCCAAGCAGACGGATGTTCAAAGATCACAAGCTGGCAAGGCCCTTGGGAGTTGAGAGACAGAGCCCATTCTTGATGGTTGGTGGTCTCTGAGCCTACACTGCTCCACACTGAGAGGTTCCTAGAGAGAGGGCTACAATAAGCTGAACTACAGGGAAAAAAATACAAAATGTTGCACAGGGTCCTGAATAAGAAGCCCGCCCTCTCTCTTATCCCAATTACAGAAATTCAGAGAAGCGGGTGTAGAGGTAAAACTCTAATGACCATGGGAATGAAGAGAAAGCCTGTTTCGTCCTTGGTGGTCAGATCTGGGACAAGCAGCTCATGAGCACTACAGCAGTGGTTCTCAACCTTCCTCATGCCGCGACCCTTTCATACAGTTCCTCATGTTGTGGTGACCCCCAACCATAAAATTATTTTCGTTGCTACTTCATAACTGTAATTTTGCTACTGTTATGAATTGTAATGTCAATATCTGATATGCAGGATGTATTTAGGCGACCCCTGTGAAAGGGTCGTTCAACCCCCAAAGGGGTCGCGACCCACAGGTTGAGAACCGCTGACTTATGGGGAGGCCTGGATAAGCAGAGAAACACTAAGCAAGTCAAGAGAGGAGGGCTCAGACTGGCCAACCCAGGTAGTTAGCTCACACCCAGCATCTCAGAATCAAGCTCAAAGGATACAAGCACCCAGGACCCCTCAGTCTGAAGGAGGAACCAGAGTATCTGAAGAGGACATAGTAGCTCAGTACAGGGTGGAGATCAATGGCCCAGAGCAGCACAGAGTACAACAAAGAGCAAGCCCAAATCCAAATCCAAGGTGGCTGGCCCGATGCCAGATTACTGAGCAGCACAGCCTTGGTGAGTGAGTGGGGCCAAAGTGGACAGTCCCAAAAAACTTGCAGGAGAACCCTCCACAGCACTCTTAGGGGGGACTCCTTAATCCCTCTCTTCAAGTGACTTAGACATGGCTACTATCACTTAGTTAACAATCTTTAAAAGTTCTTTTTCTTTCATTTTTTCATGTGTTTACTGTATATTTTTCTAAGTGCTTTCCTAAGCTTTTACATACACACATATGTATATATACAAATATGTCCCTTTTCTGCAGAAATGAAGTTATATTGTTTTGCTTTATTCACTTAACATTGTGTCATAGAGAGATTTCCATGTTAGTATCTTTTCCCCCTTTTAAAAACAACCACTATCTAATATTCTATTATATAAGTGGTTCATAATTTATTTAACCAGATTTTAATTGTTGAACATTTAGGTGGTTTCTGTTTCATAAACAATTTGCTGTTATATGCATCATATACTTTATACATGCTTCTTTGTTTATACAGTGGGGCCTTGACTTACGAGTGTCCCGAATAACGAGTTTTTTGAGATACCAGCTGTCTCTAGGCCGATTTTTTGCATTGCGTTGATAGAGTAAGTTGAGTTAACGAGCTCCTTAACGAGCTCGGTCTCGGAACGAATTAAACTCATAAGTCAAGGCCCCACTGTATATGCCTGTATTTTCCCAGAATAGATGCTTAAACATGGAAATACAAAGGATGTATTTACTGTAGAGTTGGAATATATGCCAAATTGTCCTCCAAAAAGACTATGCCTACTTACACTTCCTCCTGCAGTGAAGGAGACACTGATTTCTCACACACTGACCCGATGCTTTTGTAATCTTGCTTCCTCAAGTTTATTTGTTAATGGGATATTTCAAGCTGTATATCCCCATACTCCCCTTGGGATGTAGCCCAATTGGGAATGGGGGTGGAGGGGCAAAGAACTTTCACTACAGTTATGAAAAGAAATTTAATTAGCAGAAATTATGTAAGACAACATAATGTGATGTTTGCCACTCTAGCACTTGGAGTTTCCACTATGAAGCAAAGGGTAATTATGGCCTCTAATAGTTTTGCTGAAACATGCATTTCAATGATGGAAGCTGCAAAGTTGCTAAGGAGGGCCCTCCCTTCAATAATAACAATACTTGACCTTTATGACCTATGCCTGTACTTCACACCTATCATCTCACTGAATCCTCACAAGCTTGTGGGGTCACTTCCATTAGCACCCTCATGTCAATGGGACTGAGACTCAAGGGACTGAGATTCAGAGGAAGTCCATGCTTTGCAAACACTTCAACCCCATCTCAGACCCACCGATGGGGAAATTCCAATGGTGGAGTTCAGAAAAGCTCCTCAGATGCTTTCATGCATATGGAAGTGAGGAACACTTGGCCTACCTGATAAAACCTTTATTTTTTTGTGAAAAACTAAATATGTATATAGTATATAAATATAAGGGAATATTATTTAGCCTTCAAAAGAAAGGAAATTCTCCAATTTGCCACAACATGGGTGAACCTTAAGGATATTATGCTAAGTGAAATAAGCCATCACAAAAAGACAAATACTGTGGTTCCACTTATATGAACTACTTAGTCAAATAATAGAGACAGAAAGTATAAAGGTGGTTGCTAGGAGCTGGCAGGGAGGAGAGAATGGGGAGTCAGTGTTTAATAGTTATAGAGTTTCAGATTTACAAGATGAAAAAGTTATGGGGATAGGTGGTGGTGACTGCTGCACAACAATGTGAATATGTTTAATGCTACTGAACTATATGCTTAACAATGGTTATGATGGTAAATTTTGTTATGTGTATTTTAAAAACAATAAAAAAGAAAAAGAAAAACCTAAGGAAGAAGACTGAGTCTAGACATTGGGCATCCCTACATGTCCTTAGTCTGCAAAACCTAAATGAAACTATTGTACTGTAGTAAACGTCTACACTTGCTGAGAATTTTAATGAATGTATTCAGCCAAACTGACGACACTTGTCAGTAAACAGGATATCAACCGATTGAGAAAATGCTCCTGAAAATAACAGTTTTGCAGTTTATTTTATACGTTCGAATAAAAGGAGGAGATATAAGGAGGGTTACATAAATTTCATTAAGAGAGTGTGAGGCCGAAACCGGTTTGGCTCAGTGGATAGAGCTTCGGCCTGCGGACTAAAGGGTCCCGGGTTCGATTCCGGTCAAGGGCATGTGCCTGGGTTGCGGGCACATCCCCAGTAGGAGATGTGCAGGAGGCAGCTGATCGATGCTTCTCTCTCATCGATGTTTCTAACTCTCTATCTCTCTCCCTT